TTGGATAAGACTTCTTTAAAAAGGTCGTATATAAGGAAATTAATTGTTCATGAACTATATTTTCTTTAAACCGAGAGTTTCCCGTATAGTAGAATTCCTTTGGTTTTATCTGACATGTTGAGGGAATGATACGAACATTAAGCTGATTAAAAAGAATACTGAACTGAATGATTTACTTGAAAGAATTAATTCAAAGCTCCTGTGACCAATATGTATTAGCGCTACTTGAACTCGGGTGATCATTCCTCATTCTTCCCTTATGTAAGAATAATTCTTCAATTACTGGCACAATTAAATTCCCCGATGAAATATGTTTTGTGACACATTTTTTAAAAACTGAGTCAAACTTGACAATAAATAAAGATATTCCATGTATTTCACATTTTATAGAAGTTTTTAACTATTATTCTTATTTGAATTAAAATCAAAACAAAAAGCTTTAAAATGTTATTCAGGTAAATAAATGCATGTATTAGTTCCTAGGTAGACAAGACATTCACTACATTTGGTAAATTTGTCTTTAAGAAGTATGCATAATTTTTGAAAAATGTCAAAATTCAACATCCACCTTTAAATATTTAGCAGGTACGCTAGTATGGAAGGGAATTACCGCCAAAAGTCTATGTATCTTGCTTTTATTCTTATTCTGCCTACTTCTTTATGCTTTGCTATTATTGTAACTATATGTCACTTTATTGTTTTCATATTTTTCTTTATTACATTTCACTTTGACTTTTATCCTTCTTCATTTTGCCCTTATTTCTATGTTGCTTTATTCTTGTTAATTCATTTTACTTTCTTTTAAATTGATACAGTTTCTTAAATGATTATCTCTATTACGAACGTTAGTTCAATCAGGCAAACAATGAAGCATATTCAATAAAGACGAATACAAGTTGTCAATATTTAGTGCGGCATTATAACGCTAGGTGGCAGGGGTATTCGCTACGAGTGTTGGTAAAATTAGGTAAGCAAACCCAGGCCGGGGTTATTCGACATTTTTCAATTTTCTGCCTTACTACTTTATCAATCGAACTTAGATTTTCAAATGACTGATGTTTGTTATAAGTTCAGGTACTGTATGTACCCGATACATGCCATTCCCTCGGAAGTCTCGCTAGATGGTAAGATTTCCCCTGGGAGACTGACTACATAGTGATGCTTCCTTCGGAAGACTATACAGTGGGACTTCCCCCGGGGAAGTTTCAATATATAGCTAGTCTTCCGAGGGAAATCTGGATATATATAGCAATTCGCATTCTTCATATCAACCCCTCCCCCGAATAGTTTTTTTTAATCGTAAAACAATGTTTATATACTAACGTTTCCAGTTTTTGAAGAAAAGTTATACGTCCTATATGAATAAATATTTGAATAATATCATTTTAATAGTGTTTTATGATTAAATCATTTTAAACATTTAGTTAAACATAGATAATCTTTACGAGTACATATGGATAATGACTCTTCCTTTTTCGCCCCCCCCCCCCCCCCAGTGGGTGCAGTCGCCCGAGTGGCACTGTGGTTACGGCGTCTGCTCTAGAGTCACGAAGTACAGTTTTAAGGAGTCAATCAATACGTCATGGGTTCTAATCCCACTGTAGGACGTGGAGTTCGGTCATTCGGATGAGATCTAGACCGTATTATCCGAGGTCCCGTGTCGCAGTAGGTGCTGGCACGAAAAAAGATCCCTCACTGTTCAATTACTATAAGTGCCGAGTATATAGGACAAATTTGCAGCTCTCCACCGGCAAGAGGTGGCTTCTCCATTTGAGTGAAAAATTCTCGAAGGGGACATTATGCAATGTACAATCACAACCCCAAGTCTCAATATATTTACTGACTTCCAAGTGGACGACCTCCTATGGGTTAAGTTTCACCGGTAGAGGGGAGGGTGACCACGAAACGTTTTCTTAAACGTAACTTTTTACTACTGGAAAAGTTCAGCGAAAGGCTTGTTGCCCCCATCCCTTACACTTTTTGTTGCAGTACTAATGCCAATTTATATATTAAAAGTCATGTACTTAATGGCAGGCATATGTATAAAATATAGTCCTGAAAAAAAGTTGACGACCCCCCCCCTTTACCTCCACCAAATAGAATTTTCGAGTTTTAAGATTTTTTGAGCTCTCCTGGCTGATGACAAATACGGTGCGTACTAAAGATATTAAAAATATTGAAATTTTTATGTCAATTAAACTGGAATTCAATTATCCAACAAATAACTTTAATAGAGTTATATTTTTCAGGTGAGAGAACAGTGACCTAGCATCGTTTTTGAAAGTGGGGAGGGGGGGGGCAACAAGAGAATAAAAATTCAGGCTTCCCGGCTGAAAACAACTTGACAAGCCAAAAAAAAAAAAAAAAAAACAGGAAATTGATTGTCCAAACTTGAAAATACATAGGCGTCGGAACTGGGAAGGGGGGGGGGGAGGCTTAGCCCCCACTTTTTTTTCCGAAGATAGACTTAGTACATGTATAGACATTGAACATTCCTGCGTAGGTTTACCCCCCCCCCCTTTTCCATGGACACGATGCAGTATGGGTTTGAAATGGGGAAAGTGGTGGTGTTTGGAAAAAAATTTGGCACTGGAGTTCGAACCTAAAAACACCCCCCCTCCGAAATAGGATTTTTGTGTTTGGAAAATGAACATTTCTATTTTTTTTTTTCATTTTTTTTCTTGTCATTTGTTTTTAAGGTCTAAAAAAATTCTTACACTTAGCCCCCCCCCCCACTTTCAATTTGCTTCCGACGCCAATGAAATCCTATTTCGGGGGCGGGGTGGGTTTGGGGTTAGATTCAACTTCTTCTATAGTATAAAATTTAAATTTTCTTCCTACTATACTACATTAACTTATTTGACCCTTACTCTTACAAAACGTGGGTCGGCCTTTCAATTATATTCAGTATGGTATAAAGTTATGTCTGAAAAAAAGAGGCCGCTATTCCTGTGTGCCCAGAGAAAATAAATATGGAGTTTCCATCATTGGATCGGGTGAAATCGGATCCGGCCTTCAGAAGTTCGATTGATAAAGTATTAAGGCGTATTGAAGAATCAAATAACCCCAGCCCGGGTTTGCTTACCTAGTTTTACCAACACTCGTAGCGAACACCACACCACCTAGCGTTATAATGCCGCACTAAATTTTGACGGTTTGACAACTTCCATTCGTCTTCATTGAATATACTTCATTGTTTGCGTGATTGAATTAACATTCGGAGTAGAGATAATCCTAATAATTTATTTAAGAAACTGTATAAGTTTAAAAGAAAGTAGAATGAATAAAGCAACATAGAAGTAAGGACAAAATGAAGAATGATAAAAGTCCGAAGTGAAATGTAATAAAGACGAATATGAAAACATTAAAGTGACATATAATTACAATAATAACAAAGCATAAAGAGGTAGGCAAAATAAGAATAAAAGCAAGATACATAGACTTTTGGCGGTAATTCCCTTCCATACGCTGACAAAATGGCTTCACATTTTAACAGCGCTTTCACATATCATTTCCGTGAATATGCCAATCTCAACATAAACTTTAAGGAGAAGTTGCGAAAATAAGTATAAACTGAACTTATATCTTTAAAGTAATATATACACAGTGTGTCCTCACATATTGCCTCCATCTTTAATTTCTCTGAATAGGATTAGATTTTAAAGTAAGGTATGCTACTCAATGAAAAAGTGATGTTACAGGGTATAAAATCGACATTTCGTAAATAATGACCTAGTAAGCCATGTTGGCCTATCATTGGGTCGTATATGGCTGCCTTGTTTCATACAAATTGTCGGACCTTTGTTTTGATACTGAATTTCAATAATAGAAAATTCTGCCTATCTGGTCTATACATAGGGTTCATGACGAGTGTGACGGGTCAACAGGGGATGCTTGCTGTTCATTGGCACCTGATTCCACCTGGATGCCCTTTTCAAATACACTTGTATTGTTTATATGTTTTTAAGGCTCGATCACTATTCGTTATCTTAGCATGAAATACTTTTGTCCTCTCTATAGGATATGAACATTTTTCGAAGGAACGTTAAACAAACAAACAACTTTTTTAAACAAAGATCCTTGAAATATTTATATTCAACAAAATCTTCAACCTCTGTTGTTTTATTTGCCGCCATTCATGTACAACCTTCTCTATTATACAAATGTTGACGAACGTGTTCTTATTGTAAAACATAATAACGTATCCTTTGCATTTTTCTTTTTTTTCCGGAATATTCTGATACCCTGTCGACAGGGGATTTTACTCTTCCATAGCACCTGATCCCACTTTTTAAAAAGCCTGTTTGGTTCTGCTCATTTGGTGTGTTCAAATGGACCTGATAACTGTATTTTATCTTCTCTTTTCAATCTTTAAAAAATCTCAGCAATTTTAAAGAAATCAATCTGAACCTCAATTACAAGGTTGCTATTATTTTTACTATATCGAAGCCCTCGAAAATTTAAACAAAAACACTTGAGACAATGATGATCTCTTGAACATATTTAGAAGAAGAACAAAAATTGTTCATAAAATCCTGTCACTATTATCATTATTGATATACGCTAGAATTCCATAAGATAATCGTCATATTGTCGTGTAATCGCCAATCCATATTGAAGAAAATGAGATAAATGAGATAGAATTGTGCACTTTACGATTCATATTAGAGTTTAATCGATTGCTAATTGTAAATCAAGGAAAATAATTACACAGTCTTGAACCTTTGAATGGACTTCAGGTAAGTAGATATTGCTGTAGATTTCACATTCAATATTTCATCCTGTAAAGTTTTTGAGATGTTTCTCTCCAACGGCACCAAAATTATATTTTTATCAATAATAAAACGGAAAATTGTGATCAAACTGGAGACTTTCTTAATTTCTACTAAATCATCACTATAATCAAATTTTAATGTTTCAGCGCAGTGTTCATCCTTTTATGTTTTGAGACAAGTTGTTCAACATTGAACTAAATCAATATTTTATTATAAAGTACTCACTTCTAGGCGGTTTCCCGTAGATGTCATTCTATAAATCCACCTGGTTTAGTGATGCATACTCCCCAGTCTCATAAGAGAAAATCCTAATTTTAGTCCCCGTCTGAATCTCTTCTCCAGCAATGTGCCATCAAAACGCTTCCTCCAATACCATTGAATATTGTATATCTGAAAAACTACTGAAAGTATGCCCGACTGATTGAAAAAGACCAAAAACCTATACCACATACCAGCGCTCTAATAGAGACAGTGCATTCGGAACCGTTGAGCGTGATGTTACACATTGGAGCAACGTATAGGTAAGTGCTGGCCTGGAAAGAGTCCTCTCGGATTTGATACAAATGAAATTACAGCTCGAGAACTCGCTAATATATCTGATTAATCAATGCCTACCATATATAATGCTTTTAGGGCGATGTAATGTCGCAAATGTAGAATCAAGCAAAACTGTACGGTGCTAACATTTTGCAACGAAAATCCGTCTTCTCGCTGACAATTTCTTAATTACTTTATCACATTTTGTAGGAGAAGCATTCGATATGATCCATCACTGTCTCCTGTATTACGATTCAGGTTCCAACGACCAGATTAGGCTTTCTAACAATTTCAATGTTTAGGCTCTGTAAAAAAAAAGTTGTTTTGGTACAGAATTTGAAATGAGTTTAATGTGCCTTTACCATTAAAAAAAATCAAATATATCATTCATCTTGATTCTATTTTGGGAATGTGATAATCATATTTAATCTGATGTGCAGTTTCATTGTTGTCCTTTTAAATAATATGTCAGTTATCTGAAAAATAAAAATTTCAAACAATCTGTAAGAACATCTTCTTACTCTTTTGACTTTGTTTTTCTCAACTATTGCTGACATTGTTTTGAGTCAGGATCGAATCAAAGTGCTAAAAAGACTCAGTATGTCATGGTCAAATATAGCAATAAAGAAGCCTGTGTCAGGAAATTGCCACTCGAAGAGTGGCGCACCATCAATATCCTTGATCCCTATTTGAGATACTTGTATCTGATATATATGTTCAGTGGTGTAATCTACCTTATTCAAGAGAGGATTCGGTCGCTGATGATAATCTTAGTTCCGTTTTGAAGAGTTATTTGTAGACAGGTTTATGTTTGGATTTTCTTGTTGGAGAACAAGGAAAATACAAGATCTCATTATCATGGTGAGAAGTTACAGAACGGGAAATAAGGCGCATCGATTTTTGTTTCATTCGGCATTTTGGAACGTATTTTAATATTATTCTATTGGCTTATTTTCTTAATATTTAATTACTGTAAGGAGTTTTTATTAAGTTGAACAAAAGGAGAACAAAACCAAAAGTAAGATTTCAGCCTAGCTAGTGTAAATTTTGTTCTGTTTTTGAAATTACAATGTATAGTCTCATCATAATTAAACTGCAGCTTTCAAAATCTTACAAACTTCTTTTATAGGTCAAAAAGTTAGCATTCGATATATCCAACTGAACTAAAGATAAAAAAAAAAACCAGCACGGAACCTGAATCAGCTGCTTGTAGCTGAATGTGATGTCAAACCAACAAATTTATTATCAATGTGCGCCTAACTCCTATTTTCTACATAAATATTAGTAGGAACACCTGCCCACTAGAGTATGTCGTTTATCCACAATTGAGTTGATCCAACCTTGTTCTTCAGACGAACAATTTCTAAAATTAAGCAGGCTACTGACAATGAAACTGATGATGCAAGTATAGCTGCAAAGTCGTTTGAAGTCGACATTTTGCTAATGCTTTGATTAATACCACATGACGTTGTTTGAAAATTTTTTTCGTAAGATCAGTTCGTATATCTATCGTGCTTAAGTTCATATTAAATAAGCTACGGGTGTCTTCGTTTTCTCGATCATAGCAAATGGCATACGGTGGGTGTAACCAAGCGATGGTGGATTTTTACTTCTCCATTGCACCAGATCTAACCTCTGTTCTTAGAGATCTGGCTGTGTTTACTCTGCTCACCATTTTGCATTGCATCAAAGCACTCTTTGCTGCTTAAAAGATGAATATAAAAAATTATTTGTTCATTTAGTGGAATACTCGGAAGGAAAGGACCGCAATTTTGTTATATTGAAGAATAATAAACTAACTTGCATTAAATTAGTTTTGACAAATCTAAAACGATTGGTTATTTCGAGAAACTAGATTTCTATTAAATTAAGCGTTTTCGAAGAAAATTCTTCTCTGCCTGCCCAGAGTTAGTAGTATTTTATATCGTTCTTTCTAATACAACACATATACATCTAAGATTGTTGGGAAAAAAAGTTTCAGAAAAATGTCAGTTAAGTAATTTCTTTTTGTTTACAAAACGGAGGATGTAAATTGTATTGATAAACATGTAACGAGTGTGACTATGATTGAATGAAAGAGTCTTCACTTACTAGATATACAATGCAAGAAAAGATTTTGATTTTGTAAATAAGATAATCTTTAACTTACAGTATTAATTACACAGATGTTTTTCCTAACAAGTTTATTTTTATTTAATTAAGAAAAACTGCAGTAAATACCTTTAATAGTCTTGTATAAAATTCTATGAATAAGATGAACGACTTTAAAAATATGCATCATTTGATATTTTTACCAAACAGAAAAGACAAAACACACAATGCTTAATATACATGTACTATGCTATGGTGCCTCTGTGGCGCAAAAAATTGTAGAAATAAAAGTTTATGTCATAAGTATAGGAAACATTATTTTGAAATAAATGTTCTGGAACATGAGTCGAAAAGACATTTCATTCAAACGATGAGAGTAAAAAAAGAACATTTTCTTCTTTATTTTATTTTGTTGCAGTCAGACTTCATTAATAAATGATATAATATTGATCTCACCTGTGGTATTTTTGTATTGATTTTGATTTCCAACACAGCCTGATATATTTGTTCAAAAGTAATTAGTAACATTTTGGCAATTTTCATATGACATGCAACGGAAATTGAATCTAGCAATTAATTGATTGATCAAAATGCTTAAAGGTTGCCATTACCATTTAGATAAATCTCACATTTAATTCTTAAATGAGAAACAAGTCTTCTGGGATTTTATCTTAAGAGCACTGGCGTTGAATATAAAACAACAGGCTTTAAAGAGAATGAACTGAGAAAAAAAAAGTTTATTCTAAGCAAATGATATTCAATACACAGTTTGATGGTTGCCATATCGAAACATGAGATTTATGGGTTGTATTTTGTCTCTTTTACGAAGTCGTTCTCTATGATTCATCACTTTTTACATTTTTTTCACACTAGACATGTGAGGCTAAATCATGAAGGGAGGAATTTTCTTCAGAGGATATTTGTCTTTAATTTTGAAAGAAACATTAATATTGATTTGATTGGAATCTTATGTTGTAATATTATCTTAAATTGATATTCAAAATAAAACATAATTTTTTTTTCTAAAACCAATATCTTTAATAAGAAAATTATGTAGAAAATCATGTAGAGTTCATTCCTTTCATTTAATCTCGTTTCTTTGATCGGCTTAACAGCATTATACTACTGAGTCATTTCTTTTCATTTCCTATGCATATTTTTTCTCATGAAGAAGATTGCATCCCAACACGCAAGGTAAGAACAGTGCTAAATTTGATACTTGTTTTCTTTGTTTTATTTTCTACTACAAAAAAAAATACCGAATGAAGACGTATTTAGACCGTTCATTTGAAATATATGTTCATATAAAGTTTTTTTTTTAAATATACATCAGAGGACATCATGTTATGAAATCTATGTTATACCTGTTGTTTAAATATTATTAAGATCCAAATACATCTACAACTTTCATCCTAGAAAAAATATCAGAACAAAAGGATTGTGTGAATTGCCATTTATTGAAAAATGAAAATGAGTATTAACAATACAATAAATGAGGAGATCCAAAAATCTTACACAGATATTCTTTTACATAAAAAAAGTAAAAAGTTTTAATAGCCTATACATCAGATGACATTATGGTATATTATTAATAATTTATATTCGCTGAATAGGTCATTGTATCGACCATAAAACTTGCGAAATGATGACTGTAAACGAGACTGCTGAAATTCTTCTTTCATCAACTTGTTTGTCAATAATTTGCCTCGTTTTAGAAATTGTTCATACCTAGAGCATGCTCTTGTGTATCGAATCAAATGAGATATATAAACTCCGTATGCAGGTGATTAAGGTCTATTTATGCACAGGTAGGGGAAGTCGACGATAAAAAAGTTAAAGTCATCACGTTTATCATAGAGCTTCGTTATTAGAGTACTATTAATGTCTTTTTCAAGTAAAATATCCAAATACGAAACAGATTTGTAAGACTCTGTGGTGTCTTTTATCTCAAGCTCACCAGGATATATCGTATCGACATAAGAATGGAAATTATTTTTAATTGAAAATACGTCGTCGATATATCTAAATGTCGAGTTGAAAGCCACAGCAAGTGTTTTCTTCTTTTCACACATCAGATTTACACAAATTCTGCTTTATATGAGTACAAAAATAGGTCTACTAATAACGGGGCGCAATTGTTACCCATGGGAATTTCAATAGATTGTTGGAAGACCTGGTCTCCAAAAACGACATAGAAATTGTCAATCAGAAACTCAAGCATCTTTTTGTTGTCAACTTCAGAGTACTTGTGTGAACAATCAGAATGTGTTTTAACAAAATAATTTTGCAAATTACCAATGACAAGGTAAGTATTATAAATTTAAGAGTTGCATTTTTATTGAAAAAGCGGCTGTCTTAAGAAATGAATGTAATATTTTTTCCTTTGATTGAAGTATCAAAGAAAAAATTTGGACGGAAAACGTCATCAATGCGCGTAAGTTTGGAAATGGTTAATTATTCATTTTATCTGTATTTTCCCCTGCTTGAAGAAAAGGTGTTTTTTTAAAAATATATTTACCCTGTGTATATTTTATCAAACACAGATTAATTTACACAAAAGCAGTTCGAGTCACACTGAAAAAAATAATGAAATTTTTTGTGGTTAATATATCTAAAGCATGCCATAATACTTATCTTTTTTTTCAGAAAGTTTAAGTGTGTATTAAAATTGTATTGAAAATCAAAAACCTTCTTAGTTGGGTTTTTTTTTCAGAGATCATAAAATACAGTTATGAATAATTCCAGATGTACAATGAATACCTTTCTGAAATGACTTCTATAAATCAATCCTTAAATACATATTTTTTCTTTTTTTTTGTAATGTATAAACGAATGTACGAAAATGCAAAACTTCTTGATATGTTATATTTTATATAAAATTGTTTAAGATAATGATTGGAAATTGCAATCAAAGTTTTTTTTTTATTTCAAAATAATATTATCCGTTCCGATCAGAAGGAAAAATGTAATCATATCAGTTATCCGCATCAGAAAATCGTTTATTGACACAATAAATGCGGCAAAAAAGGAAAACCCTATCACTTCTGTGAAATGTTGAGTCTCCTTACAGATGAATAATCCATAAGATTAGGGTGATGACCCTTTCTTAATAGAGGGGATTTACTATTTGATCACATCATTATCTTTTCGTGCTTAAAAGGGAATCATTTATTTCTCTTTTAAGGAAAAGTATCGTCATTTGATCCAGAAGCCTGGGC